GCCATTACGGCCATCAGAGCCACTCACGCCATTAACTCCATTGACACCATTTGCTCCGGCCGGACCAGCCGGACCCGCTGCACCTGGTTGTCCTGTTCCATAAGGATTGCTAGAGCTGCCTCCTGAACTCCCGCCGGAACTGCCACCGGGATTACTTCCAGGATACCCTCCAGAGGAACCTCCCGAGGCCCCTCCAGTGCTACCGCTGGGATAACCTCCCGAGTTGCCAGGATAACCCGGTGCTGGTTGTGAAGCGGGCTGAGAGCCTTGCCAAGTAGATCCACTCGATGGACCAGGTAGCCCTCCTGGGGGCGGGGAATAAGGGCTACCACCTATATTGATATATACATTTATCGTTGGAAAGCATTGAACATCTGATACCAAATGAGCGAAGTATGCAAAATTCATTCCGTAATCACTTACAAGGAGTGTAAATCAAATTTATTGGTACACATCCAGCAGGAACACTAGACGGATCGAAAACCACCAGTATGGTATTGGAAGTTGATATGCAGAATATAGCTCCTTCGGCTGGGAACTTTTCATGCTGCCATGTCAAGATACCATTGACCACAGAGAAGCCGGTATCAATATTTGATGTGGTTGAGCATCCAATAAGTGGCTGTGACTCTGTACCTTCGCTCGTGGTGATAAGGTTCCCATCGGCATATAGCTGGTCGCCAACAAGTGTAAAGATAGTGGCAATCTGACACGTTGTGCATGTGCCACCGGGGAAAATATACGACGTATACTGCCTTTTTTTCATGGATCTTCGTAGGGATTTTGATAAATCTAGCTGAAGATGAAATTGTGTAGAGCCAGAAATGGATGCAATCTCTGACGGTGCCCTGATCAAGTGATAAATCCGGTCAGTATGGACGATTTAGATTTGTAATTTCCAGTGATGAGTAGACCTACTGCCATACAGCTCCAGGCATTGAAGGGCTGGCCCAAGGGTTGCTGCCACCAAGGTTGAGGAAGGCAAGCACCGAGGACAGCCCAGTTGACAACCACATTATAGTCGATCTCGACCAAAGGCCGTCAACGGAGACCGCAGGATACTGGGTGAGATAACAAAGGAAACGTACGACAGCAACACTTCACTAGTGGGGAAACATTTTGAATTATGCGATCTACTTAGAAGAAAGCGCTTGGGTTTAAGTATGGTAGCAACATGATAGAGCCAAGATAGACTGACATGTGGTTAAGGTACTTTTCAGCCCACACAACGAAGCAAAGGCCAAATAAATGGGCAGCAAACACCGCCTTGTTAGTGTGTCAGCCTGTCCCACAGCAAAAATTTACCTATGAAACGACATAGCCCACCTCGGGAACAAGGCGCCAGTGACGAGTTAGGATTCTTATTCGTTTACGGCCTGTCCAAGACTTACGCGTTGCCTAGGTAGTGTATGTCGCATTCCCTAGTCGACGCGATATCTGCGATTGAGCAACGCTTTTAGGTGACCCCTATTCCTAAATACGCGATTGTCATCATTTAGTGTCAAGATTTCCCCAGACTAAGCCGATGACAGCGCTGTCATCGTGCTCTACGGAATGTTTTGCTTGAGACCCCTTGTCTCAGGTCGCGGACACCAGGGCGACGACTCATTCCTCGCGAAGTCACCGTGTTGCGGTTTCAGACTAGTCGACCTTCAGTGGCTGAAGTGAGGCGTTGATTAGTGTGGCCGTTATGCTTTGTTGACCGGGAGCTTGTCTTAGAATGCGCTGTTTCGACGTTCATTCTGTGCAACGACGGCTGGAGGAGCCTCATGTCGCAGATTATAAGTTAGCAATGTGCCCAATGAGAATAATTCACAGTTTTACTATTGAAGGCGAAGAAAATGTTTAGCACAATACAACTTTTCTAAATGACATGGCTTGAGGGAGTTTCGACAAATACTTTTAGCAAGCGATCCGCGAACCAAGGTTCGTGCACGACTCAAAAGCCAAGAGCAGGAGGTGTATAGGTTCACTCTCTGATTTATGCATCTTGCCTCACTAGTTATTTTCCTTGATCTTCCAAGGCCAGTAGCCTCATTCTTGCAATATTCGCTATCAGACCATACTAGATCTTGGATGAGGGATGATCAGCGCTCTAAAATATGGAGTGGTGCTAGCGCTAGCGACTTCTTCCTGCTACCATAAGCGAGCTCTCGAAACCGTCGCACAAGATCCATAATTCCCGTAGTGACCAACGTATCCTGGTGATCATACGAATCGTATGATATCTTCTCTCCCTTTTTATGAAAACAGCTTCAAGTCTGAGTCAGTTCGTGAATGCAGATATGCAAGCCTCATCTTAGCTTAGAAAGAAACGACCCACCTTGACGGGACTATTCCCCGCGTTCCAAGAGTTCAAGCTAAGTGTACGCCGGCATTTAACTAACGTCCTTGACGGGTTTTCGCTGATCGACTACGACTTAAAACGGAGCCAAGAGTCGCGGTGTGTATGGGAGGCCAATGTCAAGTGAATTCCAGGAGCCGGCTCCCTCGGCAACATTCTCTTGGCTTAGCTGCATTGAATAGATGTCTTCAATGCAACCTCAACTTATAGACCATCCAGCTAGTCAATGCATTGATATGCCTCAACAAAGCACCTGAATTGACCTGTCACAACGTTGTGTCCGGAAATGGTACGAAAAGTGTGTTCCGTCTAAACGGTTGTGGATCGTTGACTGAGGCATTTATTTTTCATCGCTGGGGAAGATGTTGTTGTCACGTCCCCGTTCTTTGCGGGCTAGCTTTTAAATCAGTGTAGGCATCGTAAATTGGAGAGCTGTCCTTCGTAGATGCGTCTACAGCAGTCAATTTTGAAGATGTCCTGTTTCAGTGTTAGTGCTATTCATTTAGCAGAATTATATGCCGTATTGGCAATACTCAAATAAGATTCAGCCCTAGCCTGGTGAGCGGAGAGAAAATAAGATAGTCTGTGATTCTCCAGAACCTTTGAGCAGTAAATTTGTAGTTGTGACTCCAATGGTAAAGCGTTCGGTAGCAGTACTTTGGCTCACATACGCAGCCAACCGAACGCCGTCGACGTTATCTCTGACGTCCCCGTAAATTCTCACGAGACAACAGTGACTGCCAAGTGCTCGTTGATAGAGTTACGGCTTTCTTTTGTGTCTCTCAGCCATCACAAAGTTTGGGTCCACATTGCTGGGGGTGTAGATCAACTCTGTTTTCATGGCAGTTTGGACGACGATCTCTGGCCAGATCTTTCGGATCAGACAACGCTGACATGTTGTTCTTTTGTAGCCCACCGCATCCAGCGAAACTTCCCGCCTGCACATGGAACTCGGGAACGTCACAGGAAAGTCAACGCAGATCGGTGGAGAACGATGCACACGTCAAAATTCACAAGGCGACCAATTATCATGAGCAATGCGAACTGTAGATTTGCCCAGGCCTTCATGAACAAACTCCTGGATGAAAATCATGCATTCCAGTGGGGTTCATGTCCTATGCTATCAAGTTCAGCATCATTAGAGAGGTAACAAATGAGGCGCATAAAGCTACAAAAGCGTTGCCATGTCCCGGATGAAGAGGTTGAACTTGCCAAATTGTTGATCCACTTCAGAGTCTTTCTTTGCCAGCTTCCTACCACCAAAGCAACCATCATCAGAATGTACTTCACCCAGACAATCGTTGGCCTTGCGACAGCCGCTATGGTGGCACTTTCACCGCCGGCTCTGGCTTTCACTACTTCCTGTCTATATCAGGAATATGCTTGTGGTTACAACCTCATCTCTTTGAACGGTATAGTCAAACTAAATCTTGGGAAGGAGCCCATTTTGACATCCTCACGATAGGGTATAACATCACGGAACTGACAATCGCTGTCAATAAGACATCTGTCGTCCCACCCCTGAATGCAAATCAACTTCTCCAAGTTCTCTATCGCTGCGAGGACACGGCCGGTACCATTGCGGGCAACTCTTTTTGCATTGCTGGCTGCTCGGGAATGACTGGACCTCAGGAGAATGACCAGTGCACCATGTAGAACGAAGGCAGTCTCGCCCACAGGGACGACTCTATGTGTTGGGATAGCAGCCTTGACGTCGCACAGTGGTAGTTCTCAGCCCCTGTCGATGCTCGTTATTTTCGAAAGGTGGAGAGTGTAGGATCTTGTCTAAATCTAATTCACGTATTTCTTCGTTGCAATCCGCAAAATTTAATACACCCTACTGGAGTTTTATAATATTGATACGCTTTGACTTGATCTCCATTTTCATTTGGTTGTATGACTATTCACTGCACTGGACTTTGATCATGAAGGTTTGGGATACTATTGAATCGGCTTGTAGTCTAGTAGTTCTCGCTAGAGTTCAATGGACATAAAAGTCGTGCTATCACGTGATACTTTACTTATTGTACCTTTACACTTTATACAAATATCATTCCGCAAAACCTGGGCTCAAATCTTACATCTCGCCCAGATGACACAAGTAGTACGCGACATCAAGATCAAGCTTCTTAAGAGATACAATAACAGGTAGCTAGGCACTAACTAGTGGTATTTGTTCTTCTCGGCGTAAATGTCGTTCTCCAGGAAGATCTCGGTCTTGTTGTTCATTTTGGCGTCGATGTTCTCCAATAACAAACAACAGACAAGTCCGACGCCTGCAAAAGCGAGAGACGACAGAGCACACATCTTTAAACCATATGCATAAGACCACTTATACGCTTCGCTAGCCGCTGCGATAATGCTTGGGGTCTATGGTAGTGCATTAGCATTCATTTGAAATATTCCAATTGAGTTTTACTTACGATGCCGGGTATGGCGGCCAAAGCGTCAGCACCTTGGGGAAAAGCTGTAAGAATATCCGCACCATACTTAGCATCGAGACCAGCGGCAATCGCTGCTTTCGGAAGAGTTGCAGCAACACGACTCTGTTGAGTGTTGGTTAGGATGGTCGTATAAATCGCCTGAGCTAGCGATCCTCCAGCATAACGTGCAACACCTGCAAGTCCACCGGAGATGCCGAGCTCTGTCTGTGGCACGCCTAATTGGGTGAAGGCGATACTTTCGTATTGTGACCAGCCGAAGAACATTTGCATCAAGAATGTAAACGCAATCATCATACCCTTGTTGTAAGGCGTGACCAACCCCATTAATCCACCGAATAGTGTCATCCCGCACCACGCGGTAATGAGTGTGTATTTCCAATGGCCAAGAAGGTTGCCAAATCCTATCAGAAGGCATGCGCCGAACACGAGACCAAGATTTCCGGGTAGCGTAAGCACCAGCTCTTCGGCACGAGATGTATCTGTCGTAACTGTTTTCGCGTTAGAACAAGACTTGAGTTAACATATAGTTACAGAGTGCATACTGTAAAATACGTTGATCATTGTGGGATAGATAATATTGATACCGTAGTAGAACATGGTAACAATAAATGCCAAAATGAATGGCACTGTGAACTCTCGGCCTTTGTGAGAGCGAAAAATGTGTGGAGGACATAGAGGATATTTCACCCTGCGACGAAATTAGCACAGCCATTCCATTCCGTACATGGACAGGCCCACGGGCACTCACTTAGAAAATGTCTCCCAGAGACCAAATACAACAAGGAGCCCAAAACCAGCAGCCATGGGGGCTACGACAGTAACATCACTGGAAGCCTTGTACTATATCGGAGGCAGGTTAGAGATTGTCAGTCACAAATCGGCAAGCATTGCGTACTGTAGTGTTGATAATGCCAACGAGAGCCAGACAAATCCCAGGAGTGACCAATAGGGTGCCAACATAGTCCAATCCTCTGAGACCGTCTTTCCAAGGTACACCTCTAGGATGGGCGGGAGGGAAATATAGCAAGCTGATGCCCACCAGTGAAAAGAACTGGGCAATGAATCCACCCCAGTAGATATACTGCCAGCTTCTAGCTCCCGCATCGATGGCATACTACAATAAGCACATTCACATTAACACACAAGTCTCCTAACCAAGGAGCATAGAGGCGACTTACTCTTCCAACAATGGGCCCAATTACAACGATCACATAAACAAATCCGTCAGAAAGACAAATTCCGATATGTCGATACTTGTTAGGCATCAATTCTGGGATTGCACACATGGCCATCTGGCAGAAGCCGCCCCCAAAACCGGTTATTCCAAGCCCAGCAACAAACTGATCCGAGGAATGGGCGGTCGCCATAACAATGAAACCCAGACAACATATGACATTTCCAGCGATGAGAAAAATGCGTCGCCCGAATAAATCAGAGTTTCTAATAGTAATCAAAGTAAATTAGTTTCGAAAGTGCTAAATTTATGGAGATGAATAGCTCACGTTCCAGCAATAAGGAAACCAAGTGAGTTACCAGTCGTATAAGCGGGGACTGTGAGGTAATCAGCACTCCATGGATTTCGTACTTTGTACATAATAAGGGGAGTTTTGCAAGCGTACCATACCAGCCGATTAGAGATAGATTACCACCGAACTGAGCACCAAGTCTGGACTGAAGCGCGGCAGTTGTCGGGACAGGCCAGAACGACAGACCGAACGTAGAGGAAAGAATCTGATCGATGCAAGTCAGCTTCGCGCCCACCCCACTGATAGCAAACTTCACTTACAAAGATGACAAGCCAGGTTTTCCATGTCATAGTCACCACAGCTCCGCTCATTGTTGTCAAACCGGGGGCCGAAACTTCTTCAACCCTCTCAACATCGTGTTTTTCGCCATCTCTTTGTTCCGACGCGCTTATAGATGGTGCTGGCGACGCATTCGTGCCATTGTCTCCGGCAGTCATGGCTACAATATTTGAGTTTGTGAAATTTGACGGACAGATAATCAGTGGCCATGCAGACCAAAGTTCATAGGCTGTCTGACAGTTATATTGTCGGGGCGAAATCCCGGCAACACGTCTGACAGGCCGAAGCAAAGGTAACGGAGCACTTGATGCGCCTCGTACATACGTTAGCTAAAGCTACAGTTGAGCCAAGGCCTAGCATATTTGCCGGGTCAAGTTTTCCCATATTTGCGCAATCCATGCAATCCCTGCAAGTCCTGACCGGGGAGCCTCAAACAGTTTGACAGTCTGGGGGACGTGGAGCTAGAGCATGCCCCTCATCTGGGGCATCTGGTGTCTTCCCGCATTTGGATCTTAAACCCCAGACGGTTGGCCAAATGGATTAAACCAGGACACCGTTGGCTTCGGAAAACGACATCCAGTTCGCCACGATGAAATTCTATGCAAAACTAATCTGGATTACTTATTATCAACCATATTGTAACTGACTGGCCAGCATGGAGACTGGCGTAATCCAAGCTCAGCTTGTAGTGCTAATTACGCGCATAGACAGTTGTGAGCCTGATCGCGTCTATGCGGTAATGCAAGGCAGCTGTCTCGGGCTGCTTAGGAAAAGCTTAAGCGCTTTCGTCCTATCGATCTTCAGGTACTAGCTATATTATGTACACACCCGTGGTTGAGTGACCCAAGCAGCCATCTACCGCACCAGACGCTACGCCTACAGTTTATGATACATCCACATGCTGTGTAACACCATCCTGATCATCCACGCCCGGAATCGCCTTACCGAAAGCAATTACATCATGTCTACCACAATTAATTAGCGATGTTTCTTCTTGAAGTATGCTCTACCTCTGGTTCATCTCACCCCGCAAATATAGTAATAGTGGAAGAGTCAAGAAAGATTGCCGAGTCGTTACCCAGCGGACCGTCGTGGGTGCTCTTCATCAGCTTGTCAAAGTCTTCATAGCTCCGACACCACAGTGTACTGCATCCGTCATAGTCCAAGGTCTTGAAGCCCATGTTTTGTACAGCTTTCTTGTCTGCCTGGGTTTGATGATGCTGACGAACAGTGTTAATCGATATGAGGATAGTTGCATCTGATTTTCCACCAACCTGTGTGTATCGCTCAATCTTGTAAACATTGAACCCTTTAGAGGCCACTGTCAAATCAGCGTGCACCGTTGCCCAATGTTTGAAAAAATGTTCATCTGACACGTTCGGGAGCTTCTTAAAGAATACAGAGACCTTGACGCATGCTGCAGGAGATAAGGCAATTGAATTAGATATCTGGCAGCGGGCATACCGTCGTATAGGAAACTTACGTTGGTAGTGCACTCCAGCGTCGTAGCTGAGGCTATCAAAGTGAAACTTGTGATCGATGCGTTCATGATGGGTAGCTCCAAGCGTAGTCATCTTGTCTTATTCAACCTGGCTGAAAACTGAGTAGGAGTTGAGGGACGTAGACAGCTCTCTACTTAGGCTCACACTTTAAAGCGAGGAAAGATGCCCACATCATAAATACTCTAGCCCCTCTGTGCTCCACATGACATCCAAAGCAGCGGAAAAGAATGGGTTGGGATCGTTACAGGTCGAGCGCCTTGTGAATGGTCCCGCATAAAGGTGCGGTTTGTGGGGTTATCAAGTGGTAGTCTCGAGACAGTCTCGGGGTAATTCTCACTTGGGATGGGGTAGTCTTATCTAGTTGTAGCCTAGTCTAAACATTCGCGTACTTAAGCAGAGTACATGCATTGCCACTCTAATCTGGATGGATGATCAGGTGTACATGTGTCAACCGTCAAGCGGTAAATGGTATCCCTAACCGGATGAGCACAGCAGTGCAACCCAAACACTCTTCAATTTTGGCCTTTGTAGCCATTGAGGCGCTCAATCTGATTCTCCATGCTGGTTGCTTTCATTACCAGCGCCATAGTCTCATCACAGAATTCTGGTTGGTCTCGGAAGTAGAAATTCTTGCCATTGAGCTCAACCGCCAAGCCATAGTCCTTGCCCTTTTCAACGGTCTTACCCTTTGCATCCGTCATGTTGCCCCCTTCAACAAGCATTGCAACTGTAGATGCAATAGACTCAATGGGCGTAAAATACTCCTCCGGGAATGTCGACCACTCAGCAGAGTTGAGCAGATTGGTTCGAACCGTTCCAGGACAGATTGCATAGCATCGCACACCATCGTAATGGTGGTATGGAAATGCAATAGACCGCATGAAGTTCACGACCCCGGATTTGGAGGCAGCGTAGATAGGACAGAATTGTGCCGGATACTGTGATCATGAGCAACGGACTGAATCTCTTAACACAGTGAGAAACTACTTACCAGCCCCCCAACACTTGCCGTCATGACAAGAGAGGCAGTGCTTCCATGATGTGGACTGAGACGAAAGTAATGCTGAGCAAGATACGCTGTGTCGATGACCGCCTTTAGGTTTATGTCGATGGTCAGCTGGTTTGGCCGTGATGGTATCCGTCCCTTCAACTTTTCTGGTGCTAGCTTTTCATAGAAGTTGTCTCTCTCCACAATTCCTGCGTTGGCAAAGACAAAATCGATGGTCCCGTGTTTCTCGAATATAGTATCAAAGGCGGACGACAACGAATCCCATGATGTGACATCAACTTTGACGAACTCGGATTTGGGGACATTTGCAGCGGCCTCCTCACCTGCCTTCTCATTCATATCTAATAGGGCACATTTCCATCCTTTTTCTGCTAGGACTTTGGCAACAGCAAGACCCATGCCAGAGGCACCTCCCGTAATGAGAGCGATTCGAGCCATCTTGAAGGTGATCTGATACAGTATAGTCGAGATATTTTGTTCAAGAAGGCCTGCTCATTCGATCAATCGATCCATGTGTAAGGTGACTTAAGTATATCAATGTACATATCGGCGCTGGGCAGCATGCGGAGTCATTTTGTCACATGGACGACTCGAGGACTGGCATCACACGCTAACACCGGAAAACGATTCGCTTGGGTCGAGCCTAATTGAACACCGCTACAACGAGGGCGCTACAGACAATCAACCCACTGTTCAGAATCAACATACGTTATGTTGGGAGGCAGGTCAAGTCGCGATGGAGCCGCATTACGGGTGGCACAGGTATAATTGAGACAGTAGAGGTCAACCCAATTGTTACATTTTTTCCTGTAGATGATGCAGCAGGAGACAAAGCATTGCATTGATATGTACTCAGAAATTCCCATGGTATACCGCACCTATCTAGAATGGTATAAGCCGTCTAGAACCTGTAAATATTGCAATACATTCCATCATTTTGGTAAGGTCTCGCTTTCAAGTCATGTCTCATAATACACGTCAGTCAAGTCACTGCTCAGTGGGTTGGAAGTCCCTCACGCCCGTAGCGGCGTCGAATCTCCCAACCTGTCCTTTGTCTTTCCGTGGTTCTTTTTCGCTGGCGCTGTCATCACTCTTATTACCAGCAGTCCATTTCCCAAGACTGGGCCTTGGAAGATCGAGACTCTTCGACCACAGTCTCTCTTTGCTGCTGTCGCCTTCTCTCTCTCGTTTCTCGTTGGCGGCCTTATGCTCCTGCACCTTATGCATAGCTTCTTCAGTCAGCTCCTGCCTGAACATGCGTTCAATCACATCCTTCTTTCGAGTTCTTCGATCTCCAATAGAGATCAAGATGCCGGCAACGGTATTAACGGTGATTGAGCAGCACAGTATCGTAGTCGTCAGCGCGGCAGGTCGAACGTGGTAGTTGATAGCCCAAGTGCAAGTGCCAAGGGCAACCTGGAAGCAGCTGTGCAGGTCAAGCAGGATAACGACAGCCACGAGGAGGCGATGGGGAAAAGCGAAGTGTGTCTCTGTTTCGTGGGGCTTGTAGAATGTGTGTGACTTTGCGAACTTGGTTTGGTGATGTACCAGCTTTGCTTGTTGCTGGGGGGTGAGAACAGACACTTCTGCTTCGTCGGCGGACTTTGTGGCCCTCTCTCGAGCAGTCTCGAGATCAGCAGGATCGGATGTTCCAGAGTCTGTTGGCAGGTCGTTCTTATTCTGTAGTTTCGGCAAGGCCAGTTTTTTCCGACGTTTGAGAGTAAGATGATCTATGCAAGTCAGCTATGTAGTCTTTTGGAAAAGGGATAAGGGGGTAGACAGGCGACTACTCACGATAGTGATGAATGAAAATCATGTGGTACGTATCAACTAGCCGGAATGGGATCATGCCATCGCCGACAATGGCGAACAAGGCAACCAAGACGTTATCAATAACATTGATAACATACAATTGCTTGTTCCCAACGTAGATCCACCCAATGAGGAAGAGAACCCAGGCGAGCCCAAAGAGGGTGATGAGACTCGCATACAGCGTGACAAGAAAACCCAGAGGCTTGCGGATATATTTGCCGAAAGCTTTCATGCTGCGCTTGAACTTGGATCGACGAGAATGTAGCATGTGGCGAACGTGGTCGTTCATTTGATCTACGTCTTCTTGAGTCCATCCTTCGAGGGACACCCCGCTAGGGAGGACGGCATAATGGGACTGGGTTAGACGAGACGAGATGCTGAACTGGCGCTCTCGCGTAGGGCGCTGGGGTGCTTCCCCTGCCTCGGTCGGCGGGCCTTGCGTAAGATCCTCCGTTGACGGTGGGAAAGCGCCGGGTACTGGTGGTGTCCAGGACAGGTCGTATGTCGGTCGCCGATTGACGAATCGTCCTAGAGACGGCACGAACAGCGAGTTCTGGATGTTCGTGATGGAGGAAAGCGTGGCAACCTCGGGATCTACAATATGGCCTTGTTAGCAGGCCGGTCGCACGCGCCTTAGACATTGCCCGATGCCTCCACTTACCAATGACGTCTAGAAAGTCTACGATGGCTGGGTCGTATTCCTCCTGGACGGGTGGTTGTTGATAGTCTTGTGCGACGGAATGGCGGCGACGACTGAGTCCATTGAGAAAGGCGCGGCTCCTGCTGGGACGAAGGCGGCTTTGATTGGTAGGGAGGGTTTCGAGCTGGGCACCAGGCTGATATGGTTCTATGTCTGGCACGTCGTGGTTCGTGGGCGATTCGGGGACAGAAGCCATACGATCGAGCGGCCTGCCCTGTGCGGTCATCCACGGCGGCCTTTGGGGTTCGGAACTCGACCGCCGACGGTTTCCAGTCCCATCAGTAGGTCGCTGCTCGAAGGGGCTTTCTTCCTCTTCACTGGGCGTTGGCGGCAGCGACTTGTTGATCTGCAGTGGTGCTGGTGCTTGTGCTTGTGCTTGTGCTTGTGCCTGAGATTGAAAGGCAGCTGGCGCTTGTGTTGGTCCACGCATCCGTCTGATGCCGATGACCGATGGCTGGCGATCAGCAAGCGACCGGAATCGCACATTCTGGGCATCGCTGGGCGGGGGAAATCGAGGAAGCTGGGAAGGGAACTCGCTGGTCGGCGTGGCAGGGGTGACGAGGGGCGGTTGGAGAAGAGGCGGCTGCTGTTGTCGATTTGCTTGTTGACGATGTTGTTGACCTGCTGCTGCGGCTGCTGCTGCGGAGGAGGAGGAGGAGGAAGAGCTAAAGTAGGGATTCTCGTCGGCACGGTAGGGATCCATGATCCATGAATGTTAATGGGGATGAGGCGAAGCCGGGGGCCACGGCGCTGTAACGGTCGGCGCGCCTCGAGGCTCGGGGCTCGAAACGTGATGGTCGTGAGGGTGTTTCAGCACACTAAGAACCCATCAATTGCGGCGGATGAAGTTGATTCATGTCTTTTTCCCCTTCGCTTCGGTCAAGTCCAACTATCCAAAGTCTCGAAAGTCTACTGTAGATCTAGAGTTCGCGTGCGATGATGAGTAAGGCGACCGGCCAGCGCGGAGGCAATGGCACAAAAGCCGGATTAGCCTGGCCAAACCAAACCTGGTGGTGTATGTACCGATGGGGGCCGATGGGGTCCGATGGGCGGCTCCCACTGACGTAGAAAGCCATTTGTCAGAGGGCGCTTGACGTCAGTTAATCAGCGCTGGGCAGCCTTGATTCCAGGCGGGCTGGCTGGCTGAGTACGGGTACGGGCGACTTAGGTAGTGCACAGCAGGCGAATCAAGATCTGCGCTTGTCTCCACAGCGGGCGACTACCTCTGCCATATGGGTGGGTAGGTATGAGAATGAGCCGGATCTCTGGGAGGCACGGACCGAGTGCGTGCGTGCAGGGAGGGACCAAGGCAATAATAACAATAAGAAAAAAAGCAAAAAAAAAAAAAACACACGCCCACCAAACAACAATAACAATAGTCATGACATGACCTCTAACCTTCAATCCCCTCCACCGTGGATATCTGGATATGGAGAGACTCGGGGCGGATCGATGCCGGGAGAACACCATGAGAATGTCTTTTCTCTTTTCATTGATGGAAGTAACCTCATGTACACGGTAGATAAGCGACATCAGAGATCAATGTCCTGGCTTCCGATCTACATCCTCTTCAGCTACGCACGGTAATCATTGGTGCTCAGTCATCATCATTCATCAGTACCTTTAGGACTCTCTCAGACGCACTGTTACGAGCGATTGCATGATGCAGAGATGGATCTCAGCACACTCATTTCTCCCTTTTTGCTCCCTTGGGCAAAGTGAGATGCAATGGAATTGACAACTAATCAGACATTGAAGATGCCTACGTTACACGGTTACACTTGAGGAAAGAGGTCTCCCTGAAATCACTAAACGATTGAGCCCACCACCCATAATTACCACTCGACATAAACATGCCACGATGGAAAGAGAGAAAAGAAAATATGGAGAGAGAGAGAAAAAGAACATGTGCCAGGTCCAGCAGGAGTCGGCTCAGGTTGTGACATGCACCTGTCTCGGAGCCTCCCAGCATCCCCAGCGCTCCTTGGCCGGCGTGATCGAGTCGCGCTTCTTCTTACTCCTGGCCTCCTTGTCCCCGTCTGACCCGACCAGCACCCACTTGACCGTCTCGTTAAACAGCTTCTCTCTCGCTTTACTGTCATCGTCCTCCTCGCTGACCGATCCCCACTCCTCGACTGGCTGCACATGCAGAGGTCCGTATCTCCGGAGTCTGCTGTATAGCTCCGACATGGCTTTCTGGCCGTCGGTCCGCGATGCCCAGCCACATCGCCGCAAGCCCTCGAGATGCGCGTCTGCAACAGCCCGCAGTCTGTCGTCGCTCTCGTCCGTCGTCGTCCCGTTGCTGCCGTTGCTGCCGTTGCCATTGCCATTCACATGAGCAGTGCGTACAGAGACCATGTGTTCGTCCAGATCCGACACGACATTCTCATGGATGCGCACGGCATCACGACGACGACCAGCGGACTTGAGCAGCAACGTCAAACGATCGGCAAACTCGAGAGCCTGTGGGTCCAGGCCGCCGTGAGACCGGCGGAGATTGTAGTAGATGGTATTGCACAATGCAATGGCCCGGTCTGGGTGCTTGGCTAGGAAATGGGCTTGAACGAGCAGTGTACCAATGCGCAGGACAACTGCTGGCGACCATGACCGTTGGACTTCTCGAGATTGCCACAGCGTGGTAAGGAAACCCTGCGAATCGGCATGTTAGTATCGTTCGTCATTGCAAGAAATCTGGCGGGCGGGCCGCGGGAGGGGGTGCACTACTCACCTCGAGTTCTACATAGCTCTCCTGCTCCCCAAGCAGCCTGATCAGTGCCACGAGATCATCGAACCGCAAGCTGACAAGTTCAATGCCATTGTCATGCATCGCCTTCAAGACCGTCCTGAGGATGCCACGGCTTGTGCCAAGGATTGACTGCTTCAAGTTTCCATCGGCCGTCTTCCAGGCCGGCACGTCCACTCCCGCCAGTAGCTCAGCGAGACGGTAACCGTAGACAATGCAGTGAGAGTCGTGATAAAATCGCTGCTTATCGGCGAAACTGTGGGCGCATTTGGCCACGGCTTGAGCACGAGCCAGATCTGGCTTCTTCTCCTCGACCATAAGGCGTCGGACAGCCGCAAGCGATGCTTTACATGTAACAATGGCGAAGTTGACTTCCACCCTATCAGCGGAGGAGCCACTGCCAATCTCGGTGAGAAGAGCAACATAAAAGTCAAAGACCGCATCGGCATCGGCGCCTTGACCGAGTTGCTGGGAGTAGCGAGCCCTGAAGAGCGGGAAGAGCTTCTTGTCAAGCGCGTCCACAAATCCGATGCGACCACGGCTCGTCCATACACAGCGTAAACGCGCGGCGCGCTCGAGAACAAGCTCGATACGAGTCGATTCGCTGAATGAAGCCATGGTTGTTGCGTATTGCTCGTACAACAGTGTCTCGAGGAGGATGTCAGCCATGAGTTGGGAGAAGCCAGCCACACCATGCTTGGCATAGCCGTGAAGGCATTGTTCAAAGACAATGAGGAACACAAATGACACTTTGGTGACCCGAGTGTCCAACTTGACAATTCCTCCCTTGTCAAAGCCAGTTGTAACAACATCCACATCTGGAAATAGAAGGAGAATGTGAAGTTGTTGCAAAAACTCCTGACCTTGTTGAACCAAATCGCAAGCGATATACATGGAAGCAAGCGTCCTAGCTGCCGTGTACAGCGTAAGAGAGACTGTCACTTTCGTGATGATTTCGACGATACTTTCTTTCAATAATTGCAGGATAATGGCATTGCAGTCCTTTGTGCCGCGTTTCTTGTAAAGCATGGTCAATTCCATCAACTGCAGGAGGGTGGTCTCGTGCCAGCACCCAAACTCGATCTTGAGCTTCTCGTACACTTCGAGGGAAATCTCAATGGCTCGCTCGATAGTAGTAGTCGTTGTAGACTTGCCGCTCTTGATAACAGTGACATACAGCTTTGAAAGTCGCTTCTTGATGGTCATGATCTTAGTCTCCGTGATAGTGGTGATCGTCTTACTCCTGGTGATGATTTCTTCATAGATCGTCACGGACTCATGCTGATGTGGCTCCCTTTTCTCGCAGAGTTCGGCAAGGACAATCAATGCCGCGATGAGGATAGTAGTCGATGTGCCAAACGCTTTGCTCACTGTCTCACGATATTCGATAGTAAGCTTGTAGAGCACAGTGAACTCGACTTTGGCATGAACTTCAAGCACATAACGATAGCGCTCATAGATAATCTGCACAAAGTCCTCAGACAATACAATTTCGTGATAGTGATGGGTGAATGTCTCCCACAAGATGGCACAGAGCTTTTGCAGGTCTGTCCAGCGCTTCTCCCGATGATAGAAATCGACGACAATGACTGCCACGTCGAGACCCTCGGCCTGGCAATAACCGCCGTGGGTGTAAAACGACAGAATCTCGATATAGCAATCATAAGCTTCCTTGCGGCCGAGAAGCATATAAGTCGATGCAAGTTTGCGAAGGGTTTTGATGGTGAGAGTGTGTTTTGCGCCCAAATGTTTGCGGTAATGGGCTAACACCTCGACATATATCGCAATGGCCTTCTCGTGTCGATGATACTCTTCATAAAAGTTGATCAGAGCTAGAGTGGTTTCCATCAGGCACATGTCCTCAGCCTGCAACGAGACGAGACAAGCTTTGAAAATCCGTAAGTACATTTCCTCGGCCTTCACTAGATGGCGCTGCCGGTGGAGACAAATGGCAAGGCGAGTGGCAATAGTCACACTTTCTTTAACATGAGTGCCCTCTAGTGTGAGCTTGCCGTCAATTGTCAGGACTGACTTCCAGATAATCTCGAGAGACTTGCGCGTTACCGTCTCGGCCTCTGACCATTTCTCGAGTTTCAGGTACAGGCTGATCAATGCAATGCAAGCTTTGTAGAAATGTTTATCAATGGATCCGCCCTTGCACCGCGTGTAAGTCGTTTCCCATATTTCTCGCGTTAGAGTTTCGGTCACGATGGTTGTCGTTTTTGTCTCGACGATAGTTTCAGTGACCTCTTCCACGACTTCAGTGATGATGACAGTTGTGGAGACAGCTTCTTCGTGTTCGATAAGCTTCCGTTCTTTGAACCAAATCCACACTTTATTCAGGATGGATATGGCAATAGTCAACATGCCAAATCCTCGGGCTAGGATGGCAAGTTCCTTGAGACGAATGACGAGCGTCTCTGACTGGCACGTATGATGCTCATATTCAGCCCAGATACAGATCATGATATTTGAAGCCTCGTCAAAACGCTTCAGTTGTTGAAGAAACCGGATGTATTTGACGGCCACGTTGAGCTTCAGTAGCTGTAGCTCCAAGGTGTTCTTGCGATAGCATACCACACATGCGTGACGCCATAGGGTCAAGTACAGCTTTTCCACGAACACGAAATGGCGTTTTGATTCGTAATATTCAATCCGTTGGAACATAATGCTGAAGTAGTACTCGCTATCAGAATCTATTTCCTCAGTGATGTTGAAAAATGCGTCGTCGATCTGGTCGATCTCTTCCTCGACCACATCTTTCTTGAGGACGACAGACATCCCAACAATGTCCTTGATCACCTTGCGAGCTTGAGGGGAATCACGACCAAAACGTATGACCACGATTTCGCGAAGCTCTTTGTAGATGACAGCTGCGTGATGTGTTTCACGAATCTGGATGTAGAGCTTTCCAAGTACCTCAAGCCACTGGATGACCGCGTCGCTATGACCGCCGTACTGGAACTTGCACACCTCAATGACGAAACGGATTGTCTCTTCGCGATACGTAACAAGTGTGGTTCTCTCAGTAAATGTAATCTTCTCGCTCAACACTAAAAATGTGTTCGCGCAAGACACAACGAACGGATTGAACTCATACAGCACAGTGCGGCCAGTAGACATTGCCTTGTAGAAGAACTCAGACGCTCTCGTGACATCAGAGCGTCCTCGATAGATACTTCCGAGAATGACTAGATTCTGCAGCACCGATCGATGTTTGTCTCCAAAGCATGCAGACCGGATCTGCAGCGATAGCTCATGCAGGGCGAGCGTATCTTCAATGCCATATGCATCGCTCCAGCATGACCACTCCAGTGAAGCGATTAATGAGCTCTCTGGGAAGATGTCCTTGAAGGCTTGCGAAATTTGGAGATCTCCCGACTTGTTGATGAGCGATGAAGACTGGAAGTGGCTAACCCAGTTGTAGAGCATGTACTCCGTGATGTGATGCGAGTCAACAGCTAACTGTATAACAGTCGCATCAGCCCGATCACATGATGGCTCATGTTTGCTTTTCAGTACACATTTTGCGAAAAGCAAAAGTGACATGGTCATGTACGTCTGTGCCTCTTGTAGGGACATGAGTGCTGAGCCGCAGACTTGTTTGACAACATGGTTTCTGATGACCGAGTTCTTGAGACGAATAAATCCTTTCTGTTCGACGATCAAACCTCGCGTTTTCTTTACAAGTGTACCGACATCGACACGATCAGAGACCTTCTTTTGGGCTACATTGACACTAAGAAGATCCGCCATCTCACGTCTTGTGAGGGGCCGTCGAGCAGAAAGTGTAAAGGCGAAGAGACCTTTCATATCACCGTCTTTGAGATTGATCTTTTCAATCAACTTTTCAAGGACGTGCGTGGCGTTGCCGCCTTTCAATCCCTGCAAGGCCTTGTGATAATCATCCACACTTATGTCCGTCTGAAGATATTGCACCGCGAGATAAGCAAACAGAAACGATCCTTTGGCGCATGTTGCGATAGATGAGACCAAGGACTTGATTTCTTCTTCCGCTAACTTTTTGCAAATCGGAAGCTGCGCGACTCGATCTTCCAAATACCATTTGATATCATCGCGAAGGTGATCCGGTGTGATGATAAGTTGACGGCCTCCAGGAACTCCAACATGGGAGATAGGTCGCGAAAAGGTGATAGCACGTATTCGGATATGCTTGTCTACCAAGTGAAAGATCTTGTTGTGGAGCTCGCGAACCGTATTCGAGCCGCCAACTGCCTCGTCTAACCCATCGATAATGATGATAAGACGAGGATATCGAGCTTTATCCTTGGCTCGTGTGGCGAGAGCGATGTCAAGAGCTTCCCAAAGCCGCACTTCAAGCTTCTTATGATCATGCAAATGCCCTTTCTCCTTAGTGAAGAGGCTCGTGAGATTCTCGAAAAGCTGAACGTCGCCCACGCTATGCTCTAGGAGCTGCGAAAGAATGCTTTTCAAGAACGAGACCGTTGTAGAATGCATCGGATTATCCTCCGCTGACAAGTGTTAATAATAGGCTAAAACAGGGGTTCTATGATTGCCTACCGAATGTGAACGAAAGGGTCTCAAATTTTCGGAGGTTGACATGTTTCTCAAGGCGTTCGCGAACCCAGGAAGCAAGCATGCTCTTGCCACATCCGCCACTGCCCGTGACGGTAAAAATCTGTTCTTTTCCTGTCACAAAATCAAAGAGGTCGCGCTGAATCCATTCGCACGTTCCCTCAACTCTCTCCTTTCGCTCAGCAACACGGCCGTAGATAAGAGATTTGACAGATTCTTTTGTCGTGCTCAACCTTTCACGGAGATCTGCAATGTCAAGGCTTCGAGACTTGTGGTCGCCCAGTTCATAGCGCCACATGTGATTGATCAAATGCTCGCGCCTGGCCCAAAGATCAGTGATCCTTGAACCAAATTCGGCGTCGAAGTCAATCACCACTGACTCCTGCGATCTGCCAGCGCGGCCAGAAATGCGAAGGATTTGCTTGCGGTAATGTACTGCAATGTCGCCGACCAATTCGACAAGATTTGATAGGAGATGTCCAACATCATGTGCAATGGAAGAGGAGAGTAGGAAATGATCCTTGAGTCGTATTGTACGAGCAAGTAGAGCTCCTAGAGCAGACAAGGCATTGAATGTTGGCTCAAGGGCTTCGGCTTGTTCACATCCAAGCTATTAGATCGTTAGCTTGTCTCCTGAAGATAACGAGTCCCCAACAAGTCAAAGGAGACTCCTGTAAACCTGTTCTCGGTGTTTACCTGTAGCAAGAAGTAACAGCTAGCTAGAGCCGTGTCACAAATGAACTCATGCTCTCGGATGAACCGCGAAACATGGATCGTGAACTCATGCACTTGCACCCCAAAGTACTCGGCCGCTGTCAGCACACGATCCCAGTCACTGCCCCTTGCGGGCATATGGATCAGACGTTCATCGCCGATGAAATCAAGATAATATTGGAGGTTGATGAGCTTGAAGTCATCCTCTGTGACTTCGGGGACATCGCGGATGATTCGTTTCTTGGTCTTGCGAGCTATCTCAACTGTCTGAACGATCTCAAACGATGATGCCACTTGTATACTGATTGGGCCGTCGACCATGTTTACGTTCCGCTCATTGGCATTGCGGCTGACAACTCTATTATCCTCATGGATTTCGCGAGTCGAAACAGTCATTGCTTCCCCTTTGAACGGTTCAGGGGCAGGGGAAGCCCGATTGCTATTAGTACCGGCCTCCAAGGATGTCGGCATCGTGTGAGGAAGTTCTTCAGTCGATTTGCTAGAGTTTAGGGAAGATGCCGCAGAATCGCGTTTCCGCCGGACTGGACACTAAATGAGTCTTGTTCTCCTGGGTGTCAAAGCTTGAGATGGTACTGGTCATACTTAGCGGATTCTTCCGAAGTCCTAGCATATTCTCAAGATACGGTCACTCGTGAGAGATTTCTCCCCGAGATGGCGAAGGGCGAAAACACAAGCGGCGGCTTTCTTCTTATGACCAGCAACCAGCTCAGAGTCTCGTCCTCCGCGGGTCAGGGGGATGCCAGCGTCATCATTGGCTCGAAGATGATTGATCTTCGCGAATGGAAGATTATTGGACGATCACTGATCAGCCTTGAAGATAGTTCTCAGCCCTGAGATGCACTAGGAATGAGTGCGGACTTTCCGCTGTCCGTCGTAGCTATCGCAAGACAATTCGGGCGGCCCAGAACGAAGATCTGGAGAATACCGCGGCACAACTTGCCACCATCCTTGTCATCGTGCCGCTTCTCTCCCAATACGCATCGTATGATTGTGTAGAAGTGGCATACATATGTCATCTTAGGTCTTGCTGATAGTCTTGTCTCAGCTCGACCGGCCGGAGCTAGGTCCATAGTGCACGCACCAATGGATATCGGAAAGACACCTCCTATTGGAAAACGCGCATTGCTTGGAAAGCCATGCAAAAGAAAGTACCGGCAAGGTTGAAACATTTGTCCCGCTTCATCTGCTACGTTTCCGCTGTGGCTTCTGTAGCGAGCGTAACTTTTGTTGCGGGTTCGTGATTAAGCATCCTTCAGCCGCGCCGCATACGTTCGAGAACTGCTAGTGCGGAACATGATCATCAACCCCAGCCAGCCACAGGCCGAGCTCTCTTATCCTTTTAGAATGTTCTTTGATCATAATTACCGAACTATTTGAAATTGACTTTGACCCTTTGCTGAATCGAGATGTTTTTAGATCATCACGGAAACTCAGCTGTGATCTGCAATGCTTGATCGGCTGTGCCCAAGTCTCCACCCTCCCTCATTGGCCAGACAGCATCGCCATTCACGACATTGACACTTGCCGCTCACGGGAGCGGGCCGGTGCAGGCTGGACGCCAATAGTCCCAGCCAAGCAACACGCTAGCCAGGCCTGCCTGGTTCGCTTGTAGGCCCCCCGGGACCTCCATTCGTTCTCTGGTGTCGTACAGATGCATTTTCGGTGCAAGTTGACATGGCTGAAGTAGCTGGCGCTGGGTCATTCTCGACCTAAGGCATGCCCCTGAATTCCGCAGCAATAATACATGCGGTCTAGATTTTAGCTATAGACTCCTCGTACCGCTGTCAACTCAACAAACCCCCGCAGCAGTACACAACCCTGTCCACTATCGCGACTACTCGAGCATTCGGAATGCGTTGAGTCCACGAGCGCACTACCTTAATAAAGGAAACATCGATTTATTCGCATGGCTAGCCCAGATTGATATCTACTTTATGATAGTCCTTATCTCACTAAATACCATAGAGCACACGGCTCTGGCTGCAGACGTACCTCGAACGAATTTTCCATATTAATCATCACCCAAACTTTCCAAGAAGCTCGTTGATGGCGCGAAGAATGTGGTGCCTGTCAACGGTGTCGAGTAGTTCAGCAGCCGATCATGCAATCCAGGCGGGTTCCCAATGAACATGCGCTCCAGCATCTTCTCAATAACCCATAATCGTCGTGTATAGCCAATAAAGTAGGTGCCAAACTCGCTCGAGCCTGGGGATCCAAATGGCATATTGTCCCGTAAGATGTCGCGCTCAGAACCATCAGCGTCTTCAATGGTGGCTAGAGTCTTGTGTGATGCTTGCTTGCCCTCCTGTGCGTCATCTAACTCGATGTTGTCCAGCTTCGTCCGGCCGATAATTGCCTCTTGTGTCTCCGTCTGTAGAGTTCGCCATGCTTTCAAGTCATGAACGTATTTCTGCACAACAATATAGCTGCCTCCCTCTCCGGCAGAGTCCTCGTCTGCAACGAGAACAGACTGTGGGACAGAGGGACCCACTGGGTTTGCCGTGCCATCGACGAAGCCTAGCAAATCACGAACGTCGAAATAACGAAACCCAACGGTTTCGTCTACGACAGTAATCGAATCGCCTAAACGATCTAAAAGTTGTCGCTCGAACTCAAAGCACAAATCGCGGCGCTCTGCCCGAATATGAAATAGAATGTCCCCCGGCGTGGATACGGCTGTATGCACGGCGCCACGGACTGTAGCAAACGGATGCAGCTCCGCAGGGCGCTTAAGGCCAGTGACTCGATCCCATGCATCGCTACCTATGCCCACAGTGCAGGAGAATGACGCGCTAAGATCACGAATGGCGACGTTCTTGGCCATGCTGTTCAAACTAGAGAGCGTGGAACGCACGATACGGGTCGCTTCGGGCGTGTCATTGATGGATAACACCAAGAAGGTTGCTGACTGCGTCAGTGGCGCATCAACTCGCTGCGACTCGATGGGAACACGGTTCATTGTGGCTTTTGTCGCCTGGCTTGAAGTGGAAAAGCAATGTCCAGATATGCGATATTGAGTACAATGACGATACTTAGACACTGGGGCAAGGGTATAAACGTGCCTGCTAAGAACATAAAAGTTTAACTGCTTATGGGTTCTGGCACAAATAAGTCGAGAGTACCTTATCTTATTCATTCCGCGAGCAGGATCGACCTTTGCAGATTGTTTGCAGGGCTGTGTGCGGAATCCACTTGAGTTTTGTCAGGATGGTGTCGGCATTTGCCGAGCAGCGTTGAGGCTTACTCATGGCATCCCGAACACTTCTCTGCGACCCTGTTTTGTGCATAACAGCCAATTACAATTTTACAATTATTAATTCTTCTCCCGTGACAAAACTGCATCTGAAACAGCCCAGTTGATTCAACCCGTGACTGAACATCCTCAGCTAATTCCCCCCAAATGTCTTCGAATCGCTGATTCATTCGTCCTGAACTGTTTGGTAAGTTCTAGGCATTTTCATGTCGGCTCTCACAAATCTATCATGAAGTAACTCTGGCTTTCGAATCAACGTTGACATCACAAAGCAAGGGAATGCCATTCGTGGATTTTCTTGCTATAGTTGCCTTTCTTTCATATGTATCAACTTTATCTCATGACTGTTTTACAAATATTGCCTGAAACATCTACACGGTGGACATCTTATGGATTAGCGCAGACGCCGCTTGTGCAGATATAATCGTCAGAGCAGTCATCGTAGGTCTGACATGCACAGCCTACAATGTCCTGTTAGTGCCAGGCGTCTTCAAATAGGTATATGTTGAACTTACCTAGACAATGACCTGCCCAGCTGCACCCAGTCTGACAACCACCTGGACCGCCCCCAGAGCCACTGCAGCTGGCTGTGTTTCCGGGGTAGACATTGCCGGTATGACATGTTCCCGAGCTATATAGTGATGTGGCTAATCATCGTTAGCGAAGAACTTGCAATCATGAAAGTTGATAACACGTACCGTCGACGGGAAGGTTGCTCGGGGGACTACGAATCACTTGCTGAGTGGAATCCGGTGTGAGCGCATTCTCGCAATTAATTTGATTTTGACCACCATTAGATGTCGCAGAGCCGGTCCAAATGTCAATGTGCTTGATTCCACTATTCCAATCCGTGACTTTGACAACTCCGAGTTAGCTAAGATACTCTAAACGGCAATTGTCACATACCACACTGTGCGCAATAGTCCTCCATGCGCAGATACTTTTTTAAATAGGAAGAATAAATGATTTCGCAGACACTATACTCGGAACTGGAGCTGGCAAATGTGAGAGGATTGGAATAAGTGCCAGTGCCACCAGCAACGTAGTTACGACCGCCGCAGTCGTACGCTGTGGCCGGTCCTGGTGGGTCGTTGTCCGGATAGCCGTAAAAAGTCATTTTCACACCGCTGACAGTTGAGCAAGCCTGGGCTGATCCCAAGACCGCGGCGATTAGCAAAGAGAGAGATCGCATATTGAATGCTACAGCAGCGACTATATCTTTTAGTTTGGTTGATTGAGACCGTTGTCAAGAAGCTGTGAGGGGAAGCAATGATTTATACATTCTCTGCCGTTGCTACCAAGTCAAGGGAAATGAGGTGGATATTCTTGGATGTCGTGTATATCATATCACACAGGGCTATCATGTCATAAAGCGCAGCTTGTGGTTCATAGTGGTAACACGAGGCTTGGATGGTCGAGAAATGGACCGATTGATGGTGCGCTCGGTTACATACAAAGCACCAGATGAATGCAAGACCACGTAACGGGAATGGCAACTTTCTGGATGCGGGATCAACATGCACGGTATTCGATAGCATTGTCCTCTGGGTGCCATGTCATTGGCTGGATATGTCCCATGTCGACCCCAATGCGACTCTGTTACATTGCGGGAGGCAGTGCCCAAATCCAGGAGCGACATAGGCTGACGGCACAGGTACCAACACGTATTAACCAGGGGCAATGTCAATCTAAGCTTTTCAACCTGCAAGTCTTTGCACGGCTAGCGTTCCTTCATCACGGCGGGCAATCTCTTGTGCTATGTGTGTGAAGTGGCCGCATTCAGGTATACCTATAGAAACTGGCAGACATAGAAATCGCAGCGGAACGGCGAGCTTTGTAGGCCAGAGTTTCGATAGCTTCAGTTATTTCGCCATGTTCTCCTCGTAACGTCCACATCCAACGGGATCCCTGAATGTCTATCAGCAGGGGGATAGAAAATGCTGATACTTTTCAATCGTGCCTCCACCGTGGAACGATCGCGATAGCCGGTCAGACTGGATTCTCACAAATGAACGATGACCGTGTTTGAGTTTCTACATTAGGCAGGAATCGTTCCCCCAATTCTTTTGGCAGGATATTGAAAAATAGCAACGATCTGCGGGCCGACGTTACATGGACGCATAAGGCTGTCAAATCTCGGCTTGTTCTCCATCTCAGCTCCTGCACAAGTGGTGATACAGGGTTGCAAAGAGATGCACTGCCCCACCCCCAGAGCAATGAGTGATCCCCGCAGGACAAACTTCATTGCTAGTGCTTACAGGCACCTCAGAGTCAACAGGCGACGCAACACCTGACAAGCAGGGTATCAAGTACAACTGATTGTTCTGATTTGTCCACATTCACGATCAAAGGGGTCAAGAGAAGAGAAAATATTGTTGCTGACTAGCCTGTACCACATGTGATATGCAAGAATAACGAGACAGGGGCATGCGAAAGGGCAGACTGTTAGTTACGTTCGTGTCACGTCGAGGCAAAAACACGATCTCCTCGATATGATACTCAAGTCATTACGGTATGTGTATTCAGCATGATTAGTTGATGCTAACCCTATGCGTTTATAGCACAATTACATTTTAGGCTGAGGCACCTTCTTAGTCTGAGCCAAGTTCGACGTCTATCAGATGATGACCGTCATCTCCTATTAAGCGTCTTTTTTGGCCTTGTCCAGGATCTTTTGAGCCTTTTGGGCTTTGTCATCGAGGACCTTCTTCAATTCCTCTACAGTTTCCTTGAATAGTTTCTCTCCTTCATCCTTGTGCTTCTCAGCAACCTGACCAAGTTCCTGGAGTTTCGGCAAAATCTCATCACCCTGTGGAATCATCTTCAGGTATTTTTCTAAGCCTGATCCACTAGCGAGCTCGGATCCCTTTGACTTCGCCTTCTCTGTGGCATTGCTTATGTAACTCTCCAAATCGCCGAGATCGCCAGACTCAGCAGCAGATCGAGCCTTGTCGAAAAGCTCCTTGGCGTTGCCCTGCTTCAGGGCATCTGCGTTCTTGTCCACCAGCTCTTTGACTTTAGGGTTCTTGTCGAGAAAAGGCTTGGCCTCTTCCAGAGCCTTCTGCCATGCCTGGTCTCCGAGCTCCTTGATCTTCTGCACCTTCTCGTCAATGACCTTGCGTGCCTTGGCCAAGCTGCTAGCACTGAAACCACCGGCCATTATGTCTTTGATCTGGCTCCATGTCTCATCGACTTGCTTCTTTGCTTCCGGGCCGTATTGTTCGCCCATCTGCTTTAGTTGGTCAATGTTCCCGCCCAGTTTCTCTTTCAGTTGTGGATGGTTGTCAATGATGTCTGAGAAGGCGTCGCCGGAGAGGTTCGCAATCTTCTTGGAAAGGTCTGCGAGGGCATCGTAGGCTTTGGAAGCCGCCTCCAAGCTCAATCCTGACTTGGACACTTCCTGGAATTGCTTGTATGCATCGTTGATGATCTGATCCGCTTCTTCGCGATGATTCTTCCGGACGGTGTCCCAATCATTGAAAGCAGCATCCACGTAGGAGCGGCCGCCGGGTATCCAGCCCACGTATGAGTAGGCAAATTGTCTGATGGCATCGACAGCCTGATCAGCTGTCGGCGTGTTCTGTTGAAGCTTCTTCGCAGCTGCCTCGTATTTCTTCTCTGCCTCCTTCGCAGCTTGGTTGAGCTTTCCCGCAGTGCGACCGGCGGGGGTGAAGGAGTAGATGCCGTAAAGCAAGGCGGCGCCAGCCAAACCACCGGCGACACCAGCTCCAAAATGAGAGCTACTTGAGCTTGCCGTCGGTCCTGAAGTTGACTGCAAGCGGGTCTGTTGTCGACGGGCTACGCGGATTGAGCGTCCAGCACGTGGGAGCGCAGACCGCGCAATTGCTCTGGAGGGAATCATCCTGAAAGTGAAGTGATGGCAAGGATGCAAAGAAGGAAGAATAGCGGTTTAGAGGGAGGCTGTTGATGAGGTCAAGGCGATGAAGAGTAGGTAAATGAGCTGATGGATATGATGGTGTGTAGTAGGGTTTGTAGGTGTGCGACAGGTAGAGACTGGAGATGTTGAGCTTTGAGCAGAAAAAAATTGCATTCTTATGACGTACATAGCCTTACATTGGGGATGACGCAGGAACGAAGCTGGAGCTCAAGGTGTTGGGGCTGGAGCTGGAGCTTGAGCTTTGGGTTCCACTCACAAGGACATTAAGCTCCGGATCGTGACGTCGACGATCATAAGCTCGTACCGCAGTCAACCTGCAACCGGCAGGGCTAAAAAAGTAAGCTTAACAGGGCGATCTGTAGTCAATGCCTGTGCTGTGGGGTTGGTGCGGGGTAGCGGAATGCCGTCTGATTCACTTGTTCCCTGGATGACCGTGGGTTGGGGAAAGAGCGCAGGATAATGTTCAAGCGACAGTGACAGAGGACCATTTAACCTTTGTTCAATCTCCGTCACTCCTACGACAGGTGTCTTCGAATCTTAGATCTAAGCGCTCTGTTCTAGATAAAAACAATGCAATGGCGCCGGCGTGATGCTCCCTCCTAGAAACAACGATTGAACTCCCGTGTATGCTTGCTCGTGTCCATTACCAATTGAAACTCTCCTCAAAGTATTCTATATTCACGTGCGACCGTCCAAGCATGTCGACAACGGTCCGTCTCGCGTCGTCGGCCATCCTTGCAGGCCCACAGGCGACCACTGCGAGACTACCGCCCCCCGTAGTCCTTGCAGCGACCTCAATCTCTGCACAGACATCCGGTCTATGCGGGAGCAATCTCACTCCTTGTGGCCGGTCGACGATATCACTATGTTGCATCCCTTCGCGTTTGGTGATGTGAATGTCGAGTGAGACCTTGCCATGGTCTAGGACATCTCCAAAGTCCTCTCTAACGACCTCAGAAGCGAATTCAGCCTCTCGAACTGCCCATATAATCCGTACTGAACTCGGCCTGGTCAAGGGCTTCGATAAAGCTTCAAGATGCGATAGTGGCACGACAATGCCACTCCCTCCGACGATGAAGAGCACATGGTCAAAACGATCGAATCGTTGTGAGTGTCCATACGGCCCGTCAACCAGCACCCGCAACGATGCAGCGTCGGGACTGCTTAAAGCTGCTAGGTCGCGCAGACGTGCAGTGAAACTATCGTACGGTCGAAGAAGGAACGTCAAGGTCGAGGGAGACTTTTGGTCACCTTCGAAGACGGCAGATGCTTCCGTCAGTGCTTCACCTTGAAGCAAAAAGGCCACCTCATCCGTCGGTGCGGAATGTCGCCGTATGTGTTGTACTTCTTTGACTGTCTCGCGAGACGTGATTGAAGCCACTGTGAAAGGATGGCTTTCCCAAAACCGGGAGTCATTCAAGACATGTATGTAATAGTATGTTCCTGGGAGTGGCTGGTAGTAGCTTGTCGAATAGGGAATGCTCAATCGAATGATATCCGAATCTTTGTTATAGCTGGCCTTGGCCCGGGTGCTCCAGAACTTAGGATTGAAAGAAAGAACGCGAGATACTCTCAAGATGCGGTCAGAGATCCACACCAGCACAGAGCACCATACAAAACCATCATAACGGCCCTTGAAAATGGAAACGTGGCTGATAATGTTAGCATCGGCTCTGTCCTGAAACGCACACGAGACTCACCCCAGCATCGCCACTAATATGACTACCGAGAGGAGTATGTGGAGGATGAGGAATGCTTCATAAACGTGCCGGCGCATCCAGAAAACGGAGAGTGCTAGCAACAAGCACATTAGGATTGTCGCCTGAATAGATTAGCTAATGTAGATAATGTGTAGTAGAGATATACGAGGGAAGACTTACGATTTCGCCTGTCCACCAAAACAACTGGTACCAGTAGGACACGAAGTAAGGCCATCCTCCATCTACTTTGTGTCAACAGCAATAAAGGTACGGGGAGGTATCAATAACTCACCTTCGAATACGAGAACAGTATATCCAATAGAATGAACGACTGCTTGTAGGGTCGCGACTCGTGCAACCCATCGATGAAAGTTGTTGTACGTCCCAAAGTCCCATCCGGTAAGCCAGAGTAATAAGTTGTTTCGCATACCAAAGAGCCATATTACAGGAAAGTTGGCAAATGAGATGATACCCGTGCGATCTGAAAGATATCGCCACGCCTGAGTTGAAGACTTCTCCCAACTGTTCTACTATCAGTTACAGATGCTCTGAAGTGGCTGGGTAAACTTACTACATGTTTCCAGGAAACACATGATATCCATGGATGCAAAAGAAGACATTCATGACGACGAAAATGAAGATAGTAAAACTTTGAACCCTTGGTGGTATTGTACACCAACCAACATTCTGTGCACATTTATATCCAAAGGCTGCTGGGACGGTCAAATACTGCTTTAACCACAGGCTTGGTCGGCTGGCGTGAGTGGTGCCTTTACAAGCCGTGATCTCGTCGTTTTCGAACTGCTCCCTAGCGGATAGTGGTCGATACTCGCCATGACTGACTCTTCCGAAGGAGGAGATGAAGCGATATGATAATGCAATGACGATAATGGCAATCCAGTACATGTACATAGCCGCCCTATGAGATCATCATTCGTCAGAAGACTATTTTGGTCATTGGCAAGATCTTGGCACGTACCCATATAGATAATGGTATTTGTGGACGTAGACAATGGCATTCTGAAATTGATTAGCTCATACAAAGACAAAGTGTGGGAGTAGGTACCAGAGTATCATATGACAGCTGGAACAGCCGTTTCGTAGGAACAACCACTTCGCCTAATAGGGTTCTATACGTGGCTTCCTCTCTTGTCAGGTGTCGAAGCCCAGAAATGACACTGTCAGTGTAATTGGCGATGACGTCGAATGGTGGAAGCGGCGCTTTGACGTAGTCGCGGCATGTTTGATTCAGGTGCGTGAAAGCCTCGGTCTCGTGATCCCCGTGACAATGAACCTCAAGGCAAAGGTACAGAGAAGTCACTGCAAAGTGACTGAGACATGATCGAGCCAGTTTAGAGGCATCGGGCCTAGTGTCATTGAACCGCGGAGCCCGAAGAGCCATCTGGCATGCGCTGAAGCACATTTCCCGGGACGCATCGCTCGTCGCCAATACTTTGGAGTTCCATGTTATAGAGAGTAAGGCCAATAAAAAGGTTAGAGGCGTGAGACGACGCATAACCGCAAAAGCGTGGGGATGCAAACGTGGCCCTCCAGTGTCGAGGTTGGTTGGGTGGATGTGGAGGGTTGAGAGGTAATTTTATCTTATCAGATCATCAGTTTGCGTTGTTTGAAAGGGGGGCACTGCACGGGCCGATTTCGGCCGAGGACGTAGTTCCGACGGAGATCGAATCCGCAGATCCACCTGCAAACATCCATCTTCATTCCTCATTAAGATACCACCACCGGCGCGCCGTAAGCATGTCAGAAAAGACACAAGAGCCCGTAATTACCAGCGTGACAGACTTAGCAGTCCACGACGCGAAATGGGTCGCCTTAAAAAAGGTCGACTACATCGACCAGACAGGAAAGGAACGCACGTGGGAAGTCGCAGTACGGAAAACGAGGGGCAAGACAGGGGTAGATGCCGTTGCGATGGGCAATATACTCCTACACCCGTCTCGCCCGCCATCCACACTATTGGTGATTCAGTACCGACCGCCCTTGGACTCATACACTGTTGAGTGGCCTGCTGGGCTCATCGATCCTGGTGAGACAGCTGAGCAGGCCGCGGTCCGCGAGTTCAAGGAGGAGACTGGCTACGAGTGTCGCTTGATTGACATTAGTCCGGTGCAGGCAGCAGATCCTGGTATGACAAATGCCACCATGCAAATGGCATTGGTTGAGGTGCAGTTGAAGGAGGGCGACGAGGAGCCAGAGCAGCGCCTTGAGGATGGAGAACACATTCAACGGGTCATTGTGCCTCTCAGCCAGTTCTACGATCGCCTTGTCGAGTATTCGAGGCAAGAGCGCATGATTGTTGCAGCGAAGTTGTTTCACTTTGCTGCCGGCATGCACTTTGCCCAGACTCAAAAGTATGTGTAAATGTTATGATATTGAGCGGCGGAGACCGAACAGCTGGGAAAGCGATGACCAACAGTCTACAGACGAGCTTTGATAGTGAGAACTGGAATATAAGAACTGCATCGCCGCATTCTGGAGAGTTTGACTGTTTCTCTCCATGCATATAGGCACGAACAGGAATTGCCGACAGCGGGAGGATATTCAAACGAGGTTGTGGGGTAGTGGACGGAGACTGGCCTGGATTACGTGACGGCTGCTGGCGTCGGCTTACAGTAGTATGAGTGTCCATGTGAGTCAGTATTGCTCGCGCCGGAAGACATATATAATAATCTCGAGGGTCAGCCAAGATACCTGGGTAGGTATGGAGCCGGGGCCGCTGAAAGGCTGGGCAACCAGCAGGCCGGCAGCATGGCTCGATCATTCATTTGGATCATGATGTTCCGAAATATCAACTTTGCCAAAGTTCCCCAGGCCAAGGTTACTGCTTTCTGGTGTGCAGAACCGTGGTCATGGACATTATTAGCCCGACTATGAAATGCGCCGAGAAACGCACGCACGGGGCGACAGCTGAAGGTCCAATAGCGTGTTTAGCGCTGACTTATAGGCCTGTTTCCATTTGGCAACGCCTGATATCAGTATCAGCCTTGTGCGGCCCAGCACAGTGGCACCACCTCTAGCCGGGTTGGTCGTAGGTGCCGCAATGCTGCGGCACGTATAGCGAATAAGAAAACGAGATCCTTGGCCGGGACCTCAAATTCGCCAGAGCTATTGAAATTTCGTGTTTTGCATCTTCCTCCAGTTCGCGAGTTCATATCTCAATTATCGCGACCATCGACCATCGACCATCGATTGGCGCCATGCTGTCGATGCAGCAGGCCTCCAGAGATCTGCCGCTTTCTGTGACTATCCCGGCGACTGTTGTTCTAATCATCTTCACTGCTATTGCCCAAAATGTGGTCCGCCAGCTTTGCTTTCCCAATCCTCACCGCCCGCCTGTAGTCTTCCACGTATTCCCGTGGATTGGCAGCACGGTCCAGTATGGCATAGACCCCTATAAGTTCTTCTTTGACTGTCGGGCCAAGTACGGTGATTGTTTCACCTTCGTTCTTCTTGGAAAACCTACGACAGTCTTCCTCGGTCAAAAAGGCAACAACTTCATCTTGAATGGAAAGCACGCCGATCTCAACGCCGAGGAAGTCTATGGCAAGCTGACAACTCCCGTATTTGGCAAGGGTGTGATTTACGATTGTCCAAACGAGAGACTGATGGACCAGAAGCGGGTACTGCATGTTTCATCCAGCGTTTACTCGCTCTAGCTAATACTTGCCTAGCTGATGAGGGACGGCTTCACGTCCAATTCTCTTCGCTCATATATCCCGAAATTCGTCAAAGAGGTGGAGGACTACGTCAACAGCTCACCGCGATTTCAAGGGCAATCTGGAGAGTGCAACATTACTGAGGTCATGGCCGAAATTACCATTTACACCGCATCGGGATCGCTCCAGGGCAGAGAGGTTCGCTCAAAGTTTGACACGACGTTTGCGAAGCTTTACCGTCATCTAGACGATGGTTTCCAGCCCATCAATTTCATAATGCCATGGCTCCCGCTGCCCCAGAACCGTCGTAGGGATCATGCACACAAGGTTATGGAGAAGCTGTACAACGATATCATCCAAACTCGCCGCCAGGAAGGCAATCGTTATGGCGAGACGGACATGCTCTGGACTCTGATGACCGCTCAGTATAAAGATGGAACCGCCGTACCTGATGAGCATATTGCACGGTTGATGATTGCTCTTCTCATGGGAGGGCAGCATAACACAGCTGCCTCCGGAGCATGGATCATGTTAAATCTAGCGAACAAGCCCCGTCTGATCGACGAACTGTATCAGGAGCAAATTGACGTCCTTGGATGGCCCTTGCCACCATTGACGTTGGAAAAATTGCAAGAGCTCAAGCTTTGTGGGCAAGTCATCCAGGAGACTTTGCGGCTTCATAGTCCCATTCACTCTATCCTGCGGAAAGTCACTCGAACAATGTCAGTCCCCGATACTGACTGGGTCATTCCACCGACTCATACTCTTCTCGCCTCACCAGGGCTTCTGGCACGATCGGAAGAGGTCTTCTCCCGGCCCATGGAGTGGGATCCACATCGCTGGGATACAGTTGAGGCTCCTGAGCAACTGGAAGACGATTCAGCCAAGGTCAATTACGGGTTTGGTCTAGTGTCTAAAGCGGTAACCAGTCCCTACCTCCCGTTTGGTGCTGGGAGGCATCGTTGTCTCGGAGAACATTATGCCTACGCGCAGCTTGGTGCCATCATAGCCACTATGGTCAGACTACTGAAGTGGGAGCAAATCCACCCGAAGGCACCTATCCCAGCAACAGATTACTCAGTAGGTACAGCCTCTTTCGGCTTGTTTATGGCTGATTGCTAACATAAAGAAGTCAATGTTCTCGAGGCCAATGAATCCTGCTACTATCAGATGGCATCGTCGGTAATAACACTTGGTTGACATAGTACCTTGTCAGAAAGACACCTTGGTTGAATCGAACAATATAATTAATTAATTTGCAGCACATTGTTTATTTGCCTAGTGCCGGTCTCTCCATGGTCAGTACTGAATTAACTATGGCCATGTAATGTCTGGCTTGCCTCCCGGTAACATGACACGGAATTGCCAGCCTTGAGACTCATGGATATCTGAGACTAACTTATGGAGCCATACCGTTCCCAGTGCCGGGATCACATATTCGCACTGCTCGCTCCTCGATATATTCGTCGCAAAACCCCATGATCGTTTTGCGCCTTCTATGTTGCCAAGCTTAAGTTGAGCGTGGCTTATTGATAACCAGGTCACAGCTGCTGTCCATTTATGTTTCGAGTTAAATATTGCAAGCTGTTCCATCCGCTCCAGGACGCAACCCCATAGCCGGAGAGCTTCATCAAAATGTAGCCTTTCGTGGACTGTGCGGGCATTGGCGATAAGTCTTCGCATATGTATCAATTGGTCGTTGATATCATCCATCTCTGGTGGTTCGACGTCTGCTAGATGCAACAGAACTACTTCAGCGGCATCTAGATTACCCAAACCAATATTGGCTTCGACAAGGGCTAACGACAGACGTCTAAATGGGCGTCCTTTATGTGCCGTTTCAGGTATCGTTTCAATTTCCGGTGTAAGCAGATCCACTGCTCTTTCACACTCGTTTAGCTCGCAGTGAATTTCTGCAAGCTTGCTTACAATGAGGGCGCGAGTATTCGGGCGTATCGGCTGTGCTGCATTCAACCACAAATGCTGTTCCAACGAAGCTCGTGCAGTTTGAAAGTCCCCAATGGATTGAAAGAACTTGGCGGCTGTGCCTTGAAGCCTGCGAGTGACTTCAATCTCAAATGTCGACAGCGGATGTATCCCTTCCCACTGATAAATGGTTGATGCAACATCGTTGTCGTAACGGCGAATTTTGTTCTCAATATTAGATATGTGTAATCTCCCCATCAATGCATTATCGCACCGCGTATTGATGTCGTGTTTCTGGTCAAGTAAGTTCTGAATAATGGCATCAGAAGTATCAAAATCCCCATTGATGCGCGAAATATTGCTTTCGAATAGAGCCACTGATGCATGGAAGTAGTAAGGCATGGACTTGTGCAGAAAAGTTCTAGCTCGCTTGATAGCTAGACTGCGAATCACGAACAGGTCTCTCTCAGAGAAGAATAGCAATGCGTCAACTACATCGGCTTTAAGTGACGAAGACAGTCGCTGATGTCTCGTGGCCTTGTCTAGTAATGCCCAAATAGCTCGCTTCAGGTCTGGTGACCTGCAACAGGTTGATCAGCATGACTATGTGGGAACAAGATCAGGGTAGACAATACCAAGAAGTCTTGCCTTCGTAGCACGGAGGACAAGCAAAACAGATCAGCCTTAGTGTGGTAATTGCGAGGGTTTCTTGCGTCTGGGGAGATAAGGCGCCTAAAAATGAGGGCCGTGACTCGGGTCGAATTGACCAAGTGGTGGTGCCATCTTCGAGAAGATTTTCTGAAATTTCGAGACGTGCACCAACCTCAGCAAAAACGTTGTCATCAGACAAGAGCCTTATGACATGTGGAGGAATACCAAAATCAGTCGCAGATATGACTCTCAGTTCTCCATCAGAAGTCCACCGTTTCTGGGTACTCCGGACACTTTTCAATAAAGTCAAAGGAACTTCTACACCCCCGAACCCGGATATCAGGAACAATAACTGGTCTGAGCTTGGCAGAACGTCTCCATAGTCGATAAAAAGGTTTTGATATGGCAACGACAATGAAGAGTCTTTTACCTGTCAGTATGTGGGTAACATTGGTTTCTAAAGTACGTGCCATTGAGCTGACTCAAGATCAAACGTTGCACAACGTCGTCATACTGAGGCATATCTGATGCTAATGATTGCAAATGACTGAATACTTCAGCATCATCCATTACAAGATATCTCTCGTATCTACGTCATGTTTAGAATGGAACTTCGGGATCGTAATCGAACTTACGTTGACGAGGGGACATCTAGTGGAAGCCAAAACAGCGATCCAACGCCCCCAAGTTTGCGAGCAATCTTGACATATTTCTTGCCGGCGAACCGAAGCTCCGAGACCTTAAATTTTTGAATGACTAGAGCGATATCGGGCGAGATCCAGGCTTCTCGATCCAGCTCGGATCTCAAAAATATGGTGACACACGCAATTCTGCGGCGGATTTCCACATGTGGGAAGTCAGTGCTAGGCTGCCAGAAGGCGTTGATATTGGCATTGAATGTTCGATAAATGCGGTCGAGTCTTGATTGATCAATATTTCTCACTGATAATATCTTTCTTGTTCGCTGGTTGCTTGGTATAAGCTGCCAGTGGACATCCCGAGTCAGGGATTTTGACTTTGCGAGAAGTTTTCGGATTGTTTCTAAGTGGCCATTTAGGTCTGCAGCAAGCCGAGTGGCCTTAGTCTCGTCGAAGTCTTCCGACATGTCACAGAGGGTGCGACATAGACACGTGGACCCCATGGCGACGGGAGGGAGTATGAGGCAGTGGAGTGAATTGCAAAAAGGAGAGATCTCCCGAGATTCGTTTTTTTCTTTCTCTCACAGTGAGAGCTTTAGCGTGGCCACCTCCGCCAAGTGGACCAGCATGGGTTATTTTTCTCACTGTGAATACATCTGACAGACTATTAGTAACACTGGCACCGCTTCGCAACCTTTGATACGATGCCGCGAGCCAATGTGGGCCGCTTGTTATCTTATCTGATCACAAAATCCCGCGCTATAACCAACTGTGGAACGTGGAACGCTCGCCCACATGCATTCCTCGATCTAGCGTGGATTAATAGCCTAGGATACCTAGGTATCTAACCTAAGATATCTAAAACTATTACTATGATATGATATGATGTATCTAGAGAATCCTGCTTTCCTTTGGTTTCTACGGCCGGTGCAGGATGAGGCTTCGCAAGTTTCGATTAGCTCGCGAATGGATTGAGCTGGGGTTTAATTGAATTGACATATTCACTGGTCCGACGTCGGCTGACACGCCGCGCCGCCCACCGGTGGGTTTTCACGAGAAGCGGTCCGATAATTACCAGTGGAGTGGAACTCGCGCACACCGAGCTTTTTGGGGTCTGCTCATGAAGACCCAGTCCGCCATTATGGGGGGACATCCCTGCGAGGTCCCACATTTTTGGATCTGATAAAAATCGCGTTGAACTTTCTTCATCAGATAAAAGACTGCATGCATCCCGAGCATCGACATGATGAAGCTTGCCTCTCGTCAAAATTGTCTTTTTGTTCAAACCATTCGTCTTGAATTTGGAGAACTTCACAATGGAACCATCCAAGGAGAAGCACCCCGAGCAGGGCTCAACTGAGATCTCGGCGGTTGTTAACCCGTATGAAGATAGCGTCGACGACGGCAAAAAGCCTGTGCCATTGAACATCAAGATCCTATCCGTTATCGTAGTCAGTATGATTGGCTTTGGCGGACACTGGAGCAGTGGCGTGACAGGAGCCTTGAAGAGTACTCTGAAGAAGGTAGGCAAACAGCATCCACTCCTAGAGTTCAGCAATTGATACCTTTCACAGAAACTTGACATTTCCAATACGCAATATGCTGTACTTGATTCTAGCGAAAACTTCATCAAAACTGCTTTGATATTGTTCACCGGCATCCTTACAGACCGCTTTGGAGGTGCCAGTATGTGACATGAGATCTGTTCATGTCATTTCATGTGTGCTGACATGCCAATCTGCAGATACCATGCTTTGGGGTAATGCCATATTCAGCATCGGCGCGATATTAATAGCAGCAGCAACAACCGTTCGTAGCTACAAGTTCATGATTGGTGGTATAGTGATCCAGGCTCTAGGTGACGTCGCCACTCAGGTTGCTCAGTACAAGATCTTCTCGTCCTGGTTCCCGCCATCGTCTGGATTTGCCTCGACATTAGCGTTCGAGCTTGGCATTGGTAAAATTGGATCGTTTGTTGGAAAGGCCACAGCCAATGTCATTACCAAGAACCTAGGCGACTTCAGCTGGGCTTACTGGATGTCTGTGTTCATGAATCTCTTTACCAACGTGGCGACTCTGTTCTTCTGGTGTTTTACTCGATGGTGTGAGAAACGCTATAGTGGAACCAAAGATCCTGCCACAGGAGAGAAGCTCACCGAGAAGAACAAGAAGCTTGAGATCACCAAAATGCTCCGCTTACCTTGGTCCTTTTGGCTTGTATGCCTATTTTCACTTTTCCAGACATCCACTGCCGGTGTCTTTTCTTCAAATAGCACCGAGCTTGCCGAACAACGCTTTGATATATCGGCTGTACAAGCTGGTTGGTACTCGGCCATGTCACAATACCTTGGGTTCTTCTTTGTGCCCCTGGTGGGAGTATTCATCGATTTAGTAGGACAAAGACTCACCATCATGCTGGTTTGTGGGTTTGGAATGCTGTTATCAATGTGTCTTGCGGCTTGGGGACCTACTGTTGGTGGCACAGCGGCAAGTTTTGGTATCTACGCTTTCGCCTCGTCCCTGGGACCCACCGTCATCATCGACAGTATTCGCACGAGCATGTGGTATCAGGAAGTGTTTGGATCTGGCTATGCCATCAAAATCGCCATCAATAACAGCATGACGATTATCGTTGGTATCATTGCAGGTGTGATTCAAGATCGTGACGATAATAGTTACGACAAGGTCATCATCTTGTACGTTGTTCTTGCAGCTGGCTCAGTGGTTGTTGGCGCTTTTATGGTCCTACTAAGCTTCAAGACCGACTTTATGAAGCTTTTGCAATGGAGCCGGAAGAGAAGGGTTTTGAATGGCAAGGTCATCGTTACTAAGAAGGAGGAGTTCGAGACGAACAAGTACGCCGAGTGGAACCGAAGGCTTAGTCTCGCCAACTTCGTTGCCGTTATTATCCTTGTTCTTGGCGCCTGGACTGCTTATTTCTGGGGATTGGCTACCGGTAACAATTATGATTGAGACCATTTGCTTGTTGGAGGAGATGGTATGCAGTACAGCATGCTACCACCGGTCGATTAGTCTACCGTTTTGCAGGCTTCTGATGTCAGTGGTATGGGTACCAGGATTGTACTCAGTCGACAGTGGGATGTATCTTAATACCAATTGAATTAAATTCATTATGTTTTGTAAGATGAGATGAGTCGCCAACGGCATCTATGCGTACCAGACCTGGTTTTCCACCCTCAAAATGTTATAACGATGTATACTGGGATCGTAACACTAGTAATTAAGAACGCTCAATGGTTGGCGTAAGCACGTAAATTTAAAGAGCAGATTTCCCGCCACAGTAATGATACAAAGAATGCTGTAAGTTTGCTCAAACACTTGATCGAACTGAAAGGCCTCATCTCACGCTTGCTTACGTATGGACATATACCAAGCACCGTCTTCCAGGATCCATGACTCATCATTTTTTACACATGAATGTCTCGCCGATGCGATCTTCGTAGAGATCTTCATCCTCAAAGTAATCGTGGGGATACGAGATGTCCACACATTTTCCACCACCAGTTGGCCCTACATGAGGACAGTGGACCTGCATTTCCAGTCAATATCCATATTATCAAACAGAAAATCTCACATACATCTGGACGCACTTGGGTGAGTACGATGTGGATTGTTCGGCAGACAATGTTATCGCCCCATGCTTCGTCGTAGTCACCATATGGCTTTTGTGACAGTACAGAGATGCATTCTTCAATGCTGGAGTATTGAATGTTTGAACCAGTGCATCTCATTTGAGTGACAGCACAGAGTTGTTGAATGGTTTGCATTTGGGCCTCTGGGCTTGAACCGGAGGCGCCTGTTGTGCCCTCCACCCAATTGTTCAAATTTGGTATCCATGCGTCGTATTTGACAACCGCCCCCTGCTCATCAAATTTCCAAAATGCAACCTAAATAAATCAGACAAAATTCCATGGGAAGTTTCCGCCAGTACCGAGTTACCTGTTTCAGAGGTCCAAGTGCTTTCCCGTCATCTGGGCAGCCAGGTTTCACAACACTGCAATACAAATAGACCACAGATGCCGCAACATCCTGACACCCAGATGTAAATTCAGTTATTTTGTAGCTGGTGATTGCTGCCGATGCTGCATTTCCTTGAGGAAGAGGGGCGAGAGCGAAAAAGTACTCAATTGAATCCTGAAAACCTGTGAAATTTCCGACTGGATCAACTCTTCCAACCACATTTTGGCTGAAGAGTCCAGATGGAACACCTGCCGCACCGCTCTGTATAATCGGGACTTGATTGGGATAGACTGTGAGGTTGTATATGCTGGAGATCGTCTTGTAGTTACGCCGCTCATCGAAATTTCTCCACTTCGGCCACCATATGACCGGCCAGCCTAATACCGGGGCAATAAGACTGGTGATGACACCGAGAACTTGGAAATCAAACAACTTCATGACTTATTCGCTCCTATGTGGCATGCATCATGTGCGAAGAGATTTGAAGCCAGGGGAGGTCTGATTCTTATTGTCAACAGACCGCTCCAGTGTCAATGGATCGCTGGATGCCGTTAATCGCGCTGCCGACGTGGCGGCTCGACATCGCATCGATCAAGCCATGGTTTACTGCAGGATGACTGAAATGCCCAGTAGCTAACTTGCGAGCAATTGGCGCTAATCCCAATCCAAAGCATGGTTAGCAGGTAGTTACTGGGCTTCTACCGTATTCGTGCCGGCTCACCGATTGTTTGGAGCAGCTATCAAGGAACCCGCATGGAATATTTCCTTATCCCGCATGGCGCTCCGGCCATATGACGTGTTCGTGGACTTTGCTGGCTAGGGCCGGCCTGCCCCTCGCATTGCCAGCGAACCAATTCTGCCACGGCATGTCGGAGCAGCAGCTGAACAGTTTGACAGACTAAAGACAAACCACCGAAACCACGTCGCTCGGGAGAGAAGGTCGGGTATCAAGGAGATTGCTCTCCAGAGAATTGTGCGCTGAATGTGCTGAGATCTTAGTTGCTAGAATTCGCTTTGGGGACCGAGTTGGTTCGGTTGCGGGGTTGGGTCGTTGTTTCGCCCAAGATGATCGACAGCCAGTCAAGCTGGATAGGGTGATTGACAAACGAATGCCAACATTCAAGCAAGGCAGCGCCAGCCCAATTTTCGCTGTGTCATTTGAACAAAACAGATCCAAGCTGTCGGGAACGACTCGCCCGCTCTTTCGAAAGGGGACGCTGGAGTATATAGAAGTGCACGGTCGACCTCGTTTCAGATGGGCTCGTCCTCGTGATCGAGAAACCTCCCAGCAAGAAAACAGGTACAGAACGAGGATACAGTTGCGCAGCAAAAGGTGAGAAATCCACTAGACTGAATCCAGCTATTGTTGCAGCGTGGCTGGAGGGAATACTTGATACTGTAGCGAGTAGGATCTCAAGTTGGGAGTGTGATTGTGCCCAGCTTCTTTATTGACGGTGATTGGCAGAAAATTAGTTCATCTGGCGCTGATACGTGCATGAGAACGACCTGGTTGGGCATTTCCCATGCCGCTGTCGGCATGAAATTCACTGCTCAAGAATCTGTATGGACATAGACAACATTCTATTGATTAATAACATTGACTCTTAACTTCTCGGGAATCTAGAGAGCATGTAGTCCTTCCGCAAGTTGAGACAATTGAGTGTCTTAATGTTCGAGTGTGGCACGAACGCCCAGCCCTAGGTGAGCCTCACAGCGAGAGTACCGGCCCCTGCCGTAACATACATATCGCCGAACCAATTGGATCCACCAGAGACTGGGCTTGGTGCTGACTTGCTCCAAGAACGCCCCAGACCATTGGTACGGGCCTTAGCTGCAAAGATTCTGGCCTATGATAGTCCTGCCCTGACCATCAACTATGCACTTTAGGTGTGACGGTAATCAAGCAATGGGGCGAACGAAAGACCTTGGATGGCCCTTTGCCCTCTCCTAGGCCCATCCCACAATCAATCACGTCTTGGCGCTTGATTCTCCCTATCGCAAGCCGAGGATATTCATGAGATGGTGTGGTATGACTACACTTGTGGAGAATCGGCTGTTTATTGATAGGTCGGCCGCGAAATGCCATCAACAGCTGAGGCAAATCAGTATTCTGTCGAGTTTTGCCGCTGCCCGAATCCATCTATATACCTCCAGGAATACCTCTGCCATCTGGTGCCAACATGGCAGAATGTTACACGCGCATCGACAGCGGCAAGCCGTGAATCATGGCAGTCATCGATAATGTAGGCACTCTGCCTCACCGCTCCCTCTTAGCATTGGTCTGGGCCTGTTTCAGTGCTGCATTTCTTTTGGTTTCTCTGCGCACCGTAGTTCGCCTGAAGATCGTGCGGCAGCGTCCTACAACCGATGATTGCTGGATCTTTCTAGCTCTTGTCACACTGTTGACGCTCTGCATTCTCGAGACAATCCAGCTACCAAGTCTCTATTACATGACGGCCGCGATGACAGGTGCTATTCCTGTGTCGACAGATTTGATCACAAATACCGAGGAATATCTTAGATTCGAGTTTCCCATCATTATCCTCTTCTGGACCGTTTTGTGGTGCGTCAAGGGAAGCTTCCTCGCGCTATACTTCAAACTTTTCCGCGATTTGCGTCTCTATCGCCGAGTATGGTACGTCCTTGCAGGATTTACTTTCTTGGCATATGCTGGATGTGTGACAACTTTATCCCTGTCGTGCCGCCCGACTTCCAAATTCTTCAAATTTGCGCAGTGTGGCAAATCGCAGGATATTTGGGCTTCCAACTTCAGTGTCTATTACAGTACGGCCATTGATGTTTTCACCGACTTATGCAGTAAGTTAAACTACTTAATTTGCAGTTAAACCACTGACATATGATAGTTATGGCTATGCCTCTTCGGCTGATTTACAACGTGCAGGTGTCGTTGAAACAGAAGGCTGGCCTCGTCTGCGTCTTTGGGCTTGGTTTCGCTACGATTGCTTTTGCTATCATCCGAGCAAAGCAGGTACTGGTCGAACAATATTTTGTAAATCTGACCTTGCTCATGATATGGTCTACACTAGCTGCTTCAATATGTAAGTGTTTGCTGCAACGAATCATTGTTGATTTCTGATCTCGAGTTTTAGCGGTGATAGTTGGTAGTCTTCCTGCTCTGAAGGTTCTCGTCACAAACCGCGGTTCTGCCAATCGATCTTACGGCTCGTCTAGTGGAAGAAAACAACACGTCAGCAACAGTGCCAGTCTCCGGAGCAAAAGTATCAAGCTAGGCTCTCTTTCTGACAAGAAGTCGGAGGGCGGACGATGCTTAGAAGCCGGAGACTCTCAAGAAGATATGCTCAAATCAGATGGTGCCCAATTCGTCCTTGTGCGGCACGATGTTGTAAGTCATAATCTTGAACTCGATCATACAAAGCCTAACCGGCGTGTCTTCGTAGCAGACTGTCTCGTATAGCGAAATGGATCGTCCGCATCCTGTCTATCAACATGGTCATCCTGCTTCCCGTGATGGCAGGAGTTTCTGAGCTCTGTGCCTTGTTCACAGGTTTCTTTGTACATAGCGCCTTTAGATCTGGAATGATCGTCACACTGGATGTTTCTTTTGTTATAATTAATTCCTCTCGTCATAAATGACCTAATATTTTGGATTCAATCAAAGGCTGCATAGGAATCTCAAACCTCCCGTCACTCGTACAATATTCTTACCATAGCTTGGTGTGATCCGAGGCGAGTGCTGCTAGTGGCCCCGACGAACACGCAAACAATGTTCTGATGGCAGTTAGCGGCAAATGCATCATTACTCTTGATACTCTCTTTAAATTAACCATGATTCACGTGAAGTCCGAGAGCTTAGACGTTCTGAACAATTAAGATTGCATTGGAAAGCCGGGATAAACATAACTCGCGGGGTATGAAAAGTCCGCCGTGGGATCCATGATTTAGCTTTAGAGCAAGGTAGTCGAGATGCCCCCACGAATCCTTCGCTTTTCGCTTCGGTATTCAGGCCCGGG